GTGAAGGGGGTGACAGTTGTCCTCCAGTGTTACATTTATATTATAAATATAAGCAAGTCTAAAAAGGAGGGAATACACGATTCTAAAAATCGACCAATTTGTTATCCGACGACTGTGAGGCGGTCGTTCGTTGGTCGAAATCGTGGCCCACATTAACCAATCTAAAAAAAAGCGTTCGTTGGGCAATACGTAGTGTATGTCTTCCGTACAAGTGGAAGTGATGCAATGTGCGTGTGACCTTGTAGCCACGCCCTTCCGGCCAGAACGAGCGATATACACAACAGCAATGAGTATAACAACGATTATTATATTACCTATATACATAAAATATAATCTGCACAATTCTGGTTCCATTATCTCATTCGGCCAATCTACTTTTAACATTTGGATTTTTCGTTCGTGTTTATGAAGATTCCTTGGACAAACATCCGAGTCATCTTCTGTTTCCGCTCATGCGTGATAGATTTTGTATTCGTACGACCCGTCTTACCACTGCATAGAAAATCTGTTGTTCGCATGCAAAATGACATTTTTCACTGTTGTTCAATCGGATTTTTTTCGTTCACAATACCGTTATCGGGTAAAACATCCTGCTCATCAAGGAAGAGAAAATCGTTCGATCGGTGGTTCGGCAAAATTTTTCGGACGATTTTCTTATCGTGCGTATTACTCTGTACCCAGGATTTCGCATTACGCTTTTGCATAGCATGTATGACACGCATCCCCTATTTGCACGTCTATGCCTATCCGAATAACGTTTTTATTTTCAATGTTGATTTTCCACTGCATCCCAACCTTGAAAATAAAAAGAAATATCACTCTGATAGTCAGACATACATATAGGGGATGCGTATCAGTGTATACAAAACAAACGACCAAAAACTCCACACACTGCATTGCCCCCCTAAAAAAAAGGAAATAAAACAGCAATTTGGGTCTATTGTCACCACTAGAAAACTAGTCCACACAAATGTCCAATGATGCTGGAGCAATGTGATAAAAGTTGTTGAAGAGCTGCAGATCAATACTCGAATACAAAATAGGATACATATACAGGGTGATTGAAAAGTAACTCCCTATTTTAAACTATTTATACATTTTTTATATATGAAGTTTCTCAATTCTTTAATGTATGTTCCTTAATCTATGACAGGGGTAGGCAACCTGAGAGCCGCAGGACTACAAGTTCCATCATGCCTCTGCAAGTCATAGCTTTAACTGTCAGTTTAGTAATCTTTGCAATGCCTTGTGGGAAATGTAGTTCCACAACAGCTAGAGAGCCGCAGGTTGCCTACCCCTGATCTATGACAATAAAATCTGCGATACCATGAATGCCGAAAGGTATCTCACTATGCTGCAAGAAGAAATCTAGCCAGTTGTCAATACCTGGGAGAATATTGAAGACTTGATTTTTATGCACGATGGTGCTCCTCCACATTTTGCTATTGTTCGTGAAAGGCTGAATGAACATTTCCCTGGGAGATGGTTGGGTCGAGGTGATCCGCATGAGTGGCCGGCCAGAAGCCCTAATTTAACCACTTCCAATCCGGACACTTTCACCCCCTTCCAGTCCGGACACTTTCCCCCCCTTCCAGTCCGGGACACTTTCACCCCCTTCCAGTCCGGACACTTTCACCCCCTTCCAGTCCAGGGCAATTTTCAGCTTTCAGTGCTATCACACTTTGAATGACAATTGCGCGGTCATGCAACACTGTACCCAAATGAATTTTTTACCATTTTTTTGAGACAGACAAAGCTTTATTTTGGTGGTATTTATTCACCGCTGGGATTTTTTATTTTTTTTTGCTATGTAAATGAAAAAGTCCAAAAATTTAGAAAAAAGTTTTTTTAAATAAAATTTTGCAAATAAATAATTTCATCATAAATCTTTGCCAAAATTTATTCCGCTATCTTTTTAGTAAAAAAAAAAAAAATCCAAATTAGTTTAACACCAAAAATTATAATTTTTAAACATTTTTTGTTACATTTTTATATTATTTTTTATTTATTTATTTTTTTACATACTGTCACCCTAGCAGTACAGTACTACTTGTGGGGGGGGTGATTTTTTTTTTTTTTTTTTTTTAACACATTCCTTTAACACCCATATAGCATGTAAAAGCAATCATTTCTCGCTTTCTCTCTGTATGCATTCTTGCACTCATTGAGAAGTATTGAGTGAGCTGTGATTGGTCACAGCTTGTCACATGGTACAAGGCTGTTGTGAATAGCCTTGTACCATGTGACCTCTGTGATCATTCACAGATTTCACACGTAGTAAGCAATGATGTCACAAGTGACATCTTGCTTACTACTTTGCATGTGATCACCGATTGGCCAATCAGTGATCACATGATCGGGACCTCGTACAGGAGGTCCCGTCCGACGATCGGTGTTTCACTGTGTCCGGAGGACACAGCAGGCACCGGATCTCCGAGGGAGCGCGCACAAGCAGGGTGCGGGGAGGCCGTTTATAAACGGCCACCCGACCCTGCACTGCCACCGCCCGGCCGTTTATATGCAACGGCCGGTCGGGAAGTGGTTAACACCCTGAGACTTTTTCTTTGGGGTTGGTTGAGGGAACAAGTCTCAGACTTTAGAAGAACTTGAAGGGCGACTACGAGAAGTTATTTCTGCCATCCCACGAGAGTTCCTGCGAAGATCAGTTGAGGCTTCAGAAGCTGCAGGCGAATGCTGGTGCACATATCGAATTTTAAATAAAACTCCATGTTATGCGTGTTCTTCTCATATTCATTTTTTGTAAAAATGATTAAAAAAATTATAATATTTTTCTTAAATGAGTTACTTTTCAATCACCCTGTATAATAAAAAAAAAATAAATGAATGAATGAAAACAAAATGTTTATGTGGGGAAAAAAAAAAAAAAGACAATTGTTTATAATATCCAACAGTAACTACTTTAGGATTGAGGCCGGTCACAAAGGGGCAGCAAGACATGCCCACCCTGAAGATGTCGCCTATCCATTCACTGCCATGATCTCTCTAACCTAGCTGCACGCACTGCAAAAAGATTCCCATAAGACGAGTAACTACCACCAATTATTCTGCCTTGAATCACACTTCAGACTACACAGCAACAATTAGAAAGCCGGGCTTACGGCATGTTAAAGCAGCCAGAAAGCTTAGCCACCAAAGCTCTCACTTATGTGTCAGTGTTTCGTGTCATTTTGCAGACACACCTCCCGCCCCGGGGCAGATGGGAACATGGAAAGGCAGTGCGTGGCGCAGCGTACAAAGGCGTCACACACATCAGTGAGCCTCAATTACAAAGACAACAAAACTACCGCCCAGCTTTGACTGAACGGGCACGTCACGACATCCACAGCAAATCCTCGTCAGCGTCACATGACTTCCTGTTATCAAAGAGCCCTACACGCTGCTGCTGGCAGCCGGCCCACCATTCAGTAGGTGTGTATAGAGTCCTAAACCATGCCGACTGGATTACGCTAAGACCTACGAGGATTGTAACGCCGGCAAACCTACAATGCAGGTTTAACCACACGGATTACTAGGCGCTAGCAAGCAGTAGCAACTCAAAGTGGAACTCCGGCCAAACAGCTAAATACACAGACGTATCTGCAGGACCATTTTATCTGCCAAATGATGCGTCACTCTGCCCAGCTGCCTTCTGATTCATATGTACCCAACAGAATTGTGGTGAAAGGAGATGCGGCTATATCAGCTCTCCACCTCCAAGGTCCATGGTCAGCTCACCGGTCTAAGGCATTGTCTGCTAGCCAGCTAAAAAGGTCTCCACCTTCAGCCTGGGTTCACATATATGCAGTGCGGCATATGGCATGCGATTCGCACAGGAACCGCACTCTTGTGCAAATCACATGCGATTTGTGTGCTGTGCGATCATACATTTTGCATGGCTCTAATTCCACCGCACCAAAAAAGGCGCAAGACCCTTTTTTGGGTCCGCGCTAGAATCAGATCGCGTGGGTATTCACACCTGTGTGATCCGATTCTGCACATCGCACCGATTTCGGGGTGTTAACACAGAGCTTGAAATTTCCACTCGCCTGCTCGCCAATGGCGAGTGGAAATTATGGTGGGGGAGAGTGTGTCCCCCAGGGCTGTCCTTGCTGAGCAGGCTCGGAGCTCAGGCCGAATCTGTCAGTTGCATAGGAGCAGTCAGAGTGCTCAATAGCAAGCAAGGAGTGTTTGCTGTGCTCTCTGCCTCCCCCTAGAGTGCAGTTCCCGGCTCTGTGAGTGAACAACGAAGTACTGCAAGTTTTTATTGGGGGGGTGTACATGTGTGTGTGTGTTTGTGTGTCTGTGTACGCATGTACAATTGTACATGTGTCTGCGTGTATGTACATGTATGTGTGTGCATGTACGTACATGTGTCTATGTCTGTATGTACATGTGTGTATTTCTGTATATCTATGTGTATGCGTGTCTGTACGTGCCTGTGTATACACAACTATGTGTGTGCGCGTGTGTACATGTTTCTGTGTGTATATATATGTACGTCTGTGTGTGTGTACAGGTGTCTGTGTGTGTGCTTGTTAGTGACGAGTAACTAAAGGTCTGGCTAGTAACTCAGGACTGGAAATTTTAAGCCCTGTGTTAACATACACGCCCGCAGCGGTTGGGTTCTCATGAATGGGGTGCGATTCTGATAATACACAGAAAATGCTGCAAATTCCAGACCGTATCAGTGTGAACCAGGGCTCAGCCGCCAGTGCCAGAAACCTGATGGGAAGGCTGAACTGCAATCGCAGTGTAAAAAGCCTGACAGGCGACCTCCCAACTCAACCTGAATTCTTGCAGAGTAGATTATAGACGAAGGCCGGCCATACATAGATCGAAATTCGACCGATTTTTTCGTCCGAAAATCGGACCTAAGAATAACCGGCTGATTTTTCACTCTGTTAGTGGGTCAATGGCACCGGCAAATTTTCATGGATCCTCCTCATTTCGGTGATCGGGCATATTGTAAAAATCGTGAAAAACGACCGATTTTCAGCTCAATGATGGTCAGTACGATCGTTTTTCCGAAAACAATATGCGCATGAGCCGTGACCTGGAAGGAACAGAAGTTTCGCCTGTTATAAGGGGTGAACTTTATGACTCGGTCGGCCGATTATCAAAATCAATGAAGGCACCATCGGATTACCGAGCGAACGACGTTTTCGATTTTCGGATGAAACATCGTCTGGAATTCGAACCATGTATGACCTGCTTAAGGAACCAGTAATTTTAGATTAAAAGTGGAATTCCACTCTCAGTTAACATGGACTACTTTTAATCATTCTGCTGTCAGCATTAGTAGATAGGAAAGTAAATCAATTTTTTTTTTTTTTTACATTTCTTCAGTTACTTCCTGGTTTCTAAGCCAAGTCAAACGAGGTCATACACTCGATTGTAAGCTCCCAGGATCAGGGCCCTCCTATCCCTCTTGTATTGTTGCTGTATGGTCTCCCTTTATAGTGTAAAGCGCTGAGCAAACTGTTGGTGCCATAAAATCCTGTATAATAATAATTATTATATAGGATTTATATTATGCCAACAGTTTGCTCAGCGCTTTACATTACATTATAATGGGAGACAATATACCAGACAGTACAGTAACAATACGATTCAATACACGAGGGGTTCGAGGGCCCTGCTCCTTGGAGCTTACAATCTAGGAGGGAGGGGATAGTGGAACGGGAGGAGATAGCTGTGGGGGATGGAGTGGTGGGAAGAGTGGAGGAGTTCAGTAATTAGCTGAGGGCGGGGTAGGCTTCCCTGAAGAGGTGGGTTTTCAGGGTGCGCCTAAAAGTTGAGGAGAGTAGGTGATAGTCTGATGGATTGGGGTAGGGAGTTCCAGAGGATGGGGGAAGCTCTGGAGAAGTCCTGGGGACGGGCATGGGAGGAGGAGACCAGGGAACTAGAGAGTAGATGGTCTTGTGAGGCGCGGAGAGTACGTTTTGGGTGGTATTTGGATACCAGATCTGTGATGTAGTTTGGGGCAGTATTATGAACTGCTTTATACGTCAATGTTAGTATTTTGAGATTTATCCGTTGGGCAATCGGAAGCCAGTGGAGGGATTGGCAGAGAGGGGCGGAGGACACTGGTGGAGGCCAGTAGAGGGAGGGAGAGGGGTGCGGAGGACACTGAGTGGAGGCCAGTGGAGGGATTGGCAGAGAGGGGTGGAGGACACTGAGTGGAGGCCAGTGGAGGGATTGGCAGAGAGGGGTGGAGGACACTGAGTGGAGGCCAGTGGAGGGATTGGCAGAGAGGGGGATGGAGGGGGTGGACACTGAGTGGAGGCCAGTGGAGGATTGGCAGAGAGGGGTGGAGGACACTGAGTGGAGGTCATGGAGGGATTGGCAGAGAGGGGTGGAGGACACTGAGTGGAGGCCAGTGGAGGGATTGGCAGAGAGGGGTGGAGGACACTGAGTGGAGGCCAGTGAAGGGATTGGCAGAGAGGGGTGGAGGACACTGAGTGGAGGCCAGTGAAGGGATTGGCAGAGAGGGATGGCAGATACAGAACAGTTAGTAAGGTGGATGAGTCTGGCAGCAGCATTCAAGATAGACTGAAGCGGGGATAGCCTGCGGTGAGGTAAGCCGATGAGGAGGGAGTTACAGTAGTCAAGGCGTGATATGAGGTAGTGAATGAGTTGCTTAGTGGTTTCCGGGTTAAGAATGGACGTATTTTGGAGATGTTGTGGAGGCGAAGTCTACAGTAATAATAAGTCGATTATTATACAGCATTTTTATAGCACCAACAGTTTGCTCAGCGCTGTACATTACAATGGGAGACAATACATGAGACAGTACAACAACAATACAATGCGATATACAAGGGGTTTGAGGGCCCTGCTCCTTGGAGCTTACAATCTAGGAATAATACATCTAATAATAATACATCCCAACAGTCTTTAGGAGAGGAGGGAGGGTTCTCAGCCAGCCTATGCCTGAGCTAAAGGCAGGTGCATTCCAGGAACTAAATACATGAATCTGCCCTTACTCAAGATGGCCACTGCCATAAATGCTAAGGGGCCATTTTTCCACAATGATTTCTCAGCAAAATAAAGAACGGAGATATGGAGGGATGAGTTTGCTTTGAATATTAATCAATTTTATAGCATTTTTTGTTTGTGGTGCGCAGGTGCAGTGCCGTTTTACTTTAATTTTAATAAATGCAGAACCAGAGATTTTTTTTTTTGCCAGAAGTTCTGCAAAAGTAATCTCACTATATTTTTTGTTTACTTTTTTCCCCCAGGTGACAAGTATGTGCCCATATTTGTTGCTTGTCCCATTGAAGAGAGCATGGTCGACAGCAGGCGAGTGAGCCAAGAGCACCCCCTTACCCGCCATGACTTTCCAACCACTTGCCTAGCAAGAAGACCAGGAAGGCTCGGTGGCAGAACACGTCCTAGCAACCAAGGACACTAGTCAGCAGAGGCTCGGCTTAAGCGCCTGTCCTCTCCAGCATCACATACTTGACTTTTCGCTCCGCCACCCGACTACATTTGGCTCCATGCAGCTTCTAATGCACACCAAGATGGCAGCGTGCAGTGAAATCAGAGTAAGCATTTTCAGTCCAGGAGAGGAGTCTGTACAAATGTGCAAGACTTAGAAAGGCTGAAGTTCCAGCTTTAGATGGAGTTGAAGTGCTACTAAACCCAGGACCCTGCATTCTCCAAATCTGGTCTCCACACAGAACACGCAAATACAATTACTATAGTAAAATGAAACTGCTAAATACCTTCCTTCATAAGCAATATATAGCTGGCCGAGCACTGGTGAAAGCTTGTAGGAGTTTTCATTCTAATCGGACTGTCCTGTGAGGCTGCACGACCCCGAACCCTGCATCTAGACAGCGCTGATTGGCCCTGTGCCGAACACATTCCTCCCCACCCCCCAAAAAAAAAAAACAAAAACAAAAAAAAACTTCTTACGATTCACAAAAGCATGCGCAGAGTGCCTCCTAGGGATCTGTACTTTCAGCAGATGGATTGGGGACAGTAGAAGGGGAGGATCAGAGAAGACAGGATCGATCAGGCTTTTTACACAATGTAGAGGATTAACCCCTTAGGTTCCACAGTGAGTATAACAAGCATGCTTTACTGCATCTACAGATTGATTGTACTGCTGTGGGTTTAGTAACACTGAGCTTTAAAAGCCAACACCCTGGCTCAATACCTTATCCTGGCGGATGGTCACATTTATTGGCTGAGCTCTAGAGAGGCTTAAAGTGGTTGTAAAGGCTCAAGGTGTTTACCTTCATGCATTCTATACATGAAAGTTTACAAAAAAAAAAAAAGCCTGTGTGCAGCAGTGCCCCCAGCCCCCTCAATTCTTACCTGAGCCTCATTGCAATCCAGCATTGTGCATGCCAGCCTCAGTTGTCCCGGGCCTCTCCCTCCTCATTGGCTGAGACAGCAAGCAGGAGCCATTGGCTCCCTCTGCTGTCGATCAGCCAATGAGGAGGGAAGGGGGCAGGGCAAAGACACGGCTCCGTGTGTGAATGGACACACGGAGCAGCAGGTGCCCCCATAGCAGGCTGCTTGCTGTGGGGGCACCCGACAGACAGGAGGAGCCAGGAGAGCCTGTGGTGGACCCGGGCTGCTCTGAGCAAAACCACTGCACACAGCAGGTAGTTATAGATGTGTTATTTCAAAAAAAAAAAAAAAAAAAATCTATATATAAAAATGAACCTTTAGGATCGCTGTAAACAAGCCACTGCAGAAAGGATTGGAAAAAAGTGAATGCCAAATGTTCTGCTTCCCAAACCAGAATCAAACACTTATCAGAAACAGCTGACAGCGCTCAAGGTCATGAACACACCATACTTGACACTGACCGCCAAATGTTACACGGCGATTGCAGTATCAATTCTAATTCAAGAGGACAAAGAATTGAAAGGTCCAACCTTATGAACCCAATAAAGGTCATTTGTTGCCCTCAAGGAAAGCTGGTTGGGCTTCTGAAAAGAAGAGCAGAAAGAGTGTTTAGCATGTTTTTTGTACAGGGTATGCCCCTTCTGGAGCCCCGGTACCCAACCCAGAGTGCTCCGGCACCTATTCAGGATCCCTTGAGGCCTCTGCTGATAGCATTCTGTGTTCCTTACCTGGGTACTCAGATCAGTGCAGGAAAAATGTTCTTTATAGACCGGCTTACAGCAGGTAAAATAGTTTAATTTGTTTCACACTTTTTATTTTTACCTCTGATCCTTTATAATGTATCCTGCTGAGAAGATCAGCAATTGTTAAAGGGACTACAGGGAACACAATTATAGAAGCAATGATCTGTTTAGGGGTTGCAGTCCACTAAATCACCGATCTCCAAACTGTAGCCCAGGGGCAGATGTAGCACTTTGGGCGCCACTCCTCCCACTGACGCCAACGAGGGCGCGTCACTCCTCCTCCCACTGACGCCAACGAGGGCGCGCCACTCCTCCCACTGACGCCAACGAGGGCGCGCCACTCCTCCCACTGACGCCAACGAGGGCGCGCCACTCCTCCCACTGACGCCAACGAGGGCGCGCCACTCCTCCCACTGACGCCAACGAGGGCGCGCCACTCCTCCCACTGACGCCAACGAGGGCGCGCCACTCCTCCCACTGACGCCAACGAGGGCGCGCCACTCCTCCCACTGACGCCAACGAGGGCGCGCCACTCCTCCCACTGACGCCAACGAGGGCGCGCCACTCCTCCCACTGACGCCAACGAGGGCGCGCCACTCCTCCCACTGACGCCAACGAGGGCGCGCCACTCCTCCCACTGACGCCAACGAGGGCGCGCCACTCCTCCCACTGACGCCAACGAGGGCGCGCCACTCCTCCCACTGACGCCAACGAGGGCGCGCCACTCCCCCCACTGACGCCAACGAGGGCGCGCCACTCCCCCCACTGACGCCAACGAGGGCGCGCCACTCCCCCCACTGACGCCAACGAGGGCGCGCCACTCCCCCCACTGACGCCAACGAGGGCGCGCCACTCCCCCCACTGACGCCAACGAGGGCGCGCCACTCCTCCCACTGACGCCAACGAGGGCGCGCCACTCCTCCCACTGACGCCAACGAGGGCGCGCCACTCCTCCCACTGACGCCAACGAGGGCGCGCCACTCCTCCCACTGACGCCAACGAGGGCGCGCCACTCCTCCCACTGACGCCAACGAGGGCGCGCCACTCCTCCCACTGACGCCAACGAGGGCGCACCACTCCTCCCACTGACGCCAACGAGGGCGCACCACTCCTCCCACTGACACCAACGAGGGCGCGCCACTCCTCCCACTGACGCCAATGAGGGCGCGCCACTCCTCCCACTGACGCCAATGAGGGAGCACCACTCCCCCCACTGACACCAATGAGGGAGCACCACTCCCCCCACTGACACAGATTGGGTACTAACCCTTCCTCTAATGCCAAAGATGCATGGTTTACTCCCACTGGCCACAGTCCAGCCCCCTAAAGTCTGAAGGACAGTAAACTGGCCCTTTGTTTAGAAAGTCTAGGGACCTCTGCCCTGAATCGTGACCCCCCGCCCCCAGTCTCAACTCCTATAGCATGTTTTCATTCCTGAACCATCTCCTGTAGAAAGTCTGCAGTTTGATTATTCTGTAGCCATTTTCACAAACTTCTTCGGAAGGCCGTTCACACCAAAGGTGGTGTGGAAAACCCGCATTCTGTGTGCATTTCCCACACTGCACTCAAAAAGCACTGCAGTTGCGACATGCAGCAGGTGTCATTAGGTGACACCACAAAACGCAGTACATTTGCACGCACTGGATCGCATGGTGCAGAAGTAATGAGATCCACTTGAGTTTCCAAAACTTGTACATGCACTACTTTTGGTATGGTGCGGTTTCAGTCCATTAAAAAATGGGCTGAATTTGAACTGCAAAGAACCGCATATGAATTGCACAGCGTGCTCCTGTGCAACCCATGTGAGCCAGCCCCTAAAAGATTATTTCTCTCTTTCATAACATGAATTTTATATTCCATATTAACTTTTATATTTTCTTGTGTTGTAGCTCTGATGAAGGGGGGAGTGTCTTAAATCTCAAAATGCACTGGCCTTTTTCTGTTGATTTAGGAAATCTTAAGGCCCACTGCCATGCTGCACAAGTATTTGCACAGGCTGGCATTAAGCCCTGGTTCACACTGGTTTGACTTCAGGCGCGACCTGCGATTTCCAAAGCACACCTGAAGTGGCAGCTAAAGCATTTCTATAGCACTGGAAAGAAGAAAAAAGCAACCGAATGCCTGTGCTCCTGCGCTGGACAGTAGACGCCACAATGTCAAGACCCCCATGAGCAGGAAAGGAATGCAAGCCTTGCTGCCCTCAAGGGACCAGAGAAATCCAAAGAGAACTGTATATAGGAAACAAAAAGGAGGGAGCACGGGCCGAGTGCATTACCTTTAAAAATGAGATTTATAGTAAGTAAAATACTCACAAAAGTAAAAATAAAAAGGAAAGCATGTCACAAGGGATGCAGTGTGGTCCAATACCCCTGAAGGTGGTTTGGTGGTGGGGGGGGACTGTAGATAGCTGGCGTCTGACGCGTTTCGAGGTTGTACCTCTTCCTCAAAGCCAGTTTATAAATATAATTTTTAAAGGTAATACACTAGGCCCCTGCACCCCTCGTTTCATATACAGTTCTATAGCATGGTCTTAATCAGTGCGATCTGAAGTAACAATTTAAAAAAATTTCCTTCGCTATTTTTCTGATTTCACTGCGACTTGCATTGACTTCTGTTAAATGAAAGCACAAGTCATAGTGAAATTGGACGTACAAATCGCACTGATCTACAGCTACTTCAAGTGAAGAAGCGCAATTTCAAAGTTGCATTCAGTGTGAACCAGGGCTAATAGGTTATAAAAACACGAGAGATCTAGCGGTACAGATAAATATAAAAATGTACCCTCTCAACATCTATTTTGCTTTCACTTTAAAACCAGACGCAGATCATCTCCACGACTGTATATACAAAAGTGGAAGTATTTACACGTGATACACTGTCGTCACTTGTGCCAAGCAGGTCTCGGATATCTGAATGACTCAGTTGTGAAGTTGATTTACTCAGCAGGCTTTTCTGGGCATGGTGGCCAGATCACCTTCCGCTGTGCTGTAATTCAGTAGGTAGTGAACATATTATGACCTAAGGAACAATTTAAAGGGTCAGAGACGGGTGTACACTGCCTACTGCAGCTGACATTTCTACAACGCACACTGCAAATGAGCATCAGCATCAGGGATGAGCTTGGGTGTGTTCCAATCCTGGTGCAAACTCATGTCCTGCCAGGAAGTGGTAACCTGAACTCGGCCAGTGCAAGGATTTGTGTCTACACGGACCAAGGTGTATTTTGCTCTGTTTACAGCCGCGCTGATACCTCCCTTCATGTCGCATCCGTAATGAAAATTGATCTGTGCTCACAGGCAGCTGGTAAATGAGGCAAACAAAGCTCCATGCTGCACCCAGTAGGGGAGAGAGCGCAGCAATAGGGAATGGAAGATCGGTATTTTAAACAACCAAATCCCCAGTAAGTGGCTGGGGATTCGGATTTTTACCGCTCCCTTATGGCACCCTAAGCAGCCCTATGCTGGCACCGACAATGCCTGTACTGGGCCAATCTGCTGCTAGGGCATTAGGCACCCTGCAGCTGCAAGCATGCATACAAGGGGCGTACATACGTGCGGCTGTGAGGAGAGGAATGCCTTGGCCATAGATGATTGGCCCAGTACACGTGATGACGTCCTGGCAGGCTAGAATCTGAACATGCCGAAGTTCATCCCTAATCAGCATACAAGCATAGTGCGACCAGGGGCGGACTGACCATTCGAGCACTGCCCGGGGTCAGTAGGGGGCCCCATGAAATGCCCCTGGTACCTTTTATAGGCTTTTTTTTTTGAGTGTGGCCAAGGACATAGGGGCCCCATGAGTTGTCAGTCCGCCCCTGAGTGCGACTTCAGCTTTATACAAAATCTGCTAAGTCCTAAGGGTCCTTTCACACGGTGCAGACCCGTTCAGTGGTTCTGCTTGCCCAGCGGGGGATCTCTCCGCTGAGCAAGTGAATGACAGCTCTCTGTCTGCTCTGCTGCTGCAGAGCAGACACAGCAGCTTGCTCTCCTCAATGGGCGGTTGGATGAACAAATGGACAGCCTGTTCGTTTTCATCCAATCCAATGAACGGAAGGGGCATTATGTAATGTACAGTGCTGAACGAACTGTTGGCGCTTTATAAATACTGTATAATTATAATATTAGATCCCCATCCGTCCCTTTTTGGCAAATCAGATTGGATGTCAGCGGGTTTAACTGGACACATCCGTTTACACCCGCCGCTCCATAGAGGTTCCGATCGAGTCCGCCTGAAAAACGGGCAACGATCAGAACATTCGTGTGAAAGAGCCCTAAACCTGCTGGAAGAAGAGTGGCTGGACTAGAAAAAGAGGATAGGGAGGAGGGATCGCTGACTCGCTCACTCAGGATGGTCAGTACCAAATGGGACATGTCTGTCCTTGGCGTAGCTCTTGGACCCGGCTGACATGGCTGTATGGGCAGAGCCACCACACCAAACTCAAATCACATCTGAAATCCTGACAGGAGAAGCATCCTGCAATTCAGGCAATTGTATGCAATCACGCTTCTTGCTATACCCAATATATGGGCGCAAAAGGATAAAATGTTGAATGTCACTTTTA